AGAGTCTGAAAAGATATGGCAATAAATTTTCCTTTGGAACAGCATAGAGCTGCTCTGTTTTCATTTACTATATGTCAGTGGGAAAGAGGGAATTCTTAGCTTGCTATATAAGCCAATTTGTACATAGCTCTTGAAAGGCATCCTTCTATTGTCTAGCACGGAAGTGGAGAAATGTTGCTGGGAAACAAGATTAAAAGCCAAGGGAGAGATCAACAAGGAAATTGATTAGGAGATGTTTGCTTTGTTAAAGTTGTGCATCTGAGCTGGGTCATGACCCAGAGAGGTGCTGAACACCTACAGCTCAGAGGTCAGTAACAATTTGCAGGTCCTCAGAACTATGCAGGGACCTACACTTAACTATGACGTGACAGACAAATTGTTCCTTCCTTAATGAACATGATTTTAAACAAGTTGGGGACAGTCCTATTCCAGCACCATAGCAACTAGGAAGCAAGGTGATGGAACATCTTCTAGTGGAATAAGTGCCTTTACATCACTACAGCACCTACCGCAGAAGGTGTGTCTTTCTCTCTCCCGATAAGCAACCTAGGTACTTATCTGGCCCATTGGAACAATATGAGTTCTGCATTATGTGCACATAGGTGCAAAAGCATGCTGAGTTGTAAATGCACAATTGACGTTACTGTTTTCTTATTCTAAATATGTGAATTGTTTCACTCTCAATTGATGTTTTCATAGATATTATGGTACCAAATCTCAATTCTCTCTCTTTGGTAAAGATCCTGCTGCAATGCACAAAGAGATAAGAAACTGTTTATAACTAGTTCAGTGGTGTTGGGCAAGACAGACAGGGTCTCCAGAGTTACTATCCATTTCCAGGGAAGGGAGATTAGCTTAGCTGTGGACTACAGGTGACTTGGTTGGAGTCTGCATGCCACTGACCCTTTGCTGACTGACCCATGGTACACAATAGAGTGATTTTGGAGAAGTCTGTCAGTGCATATGGGCATAAACTTTTCATATGGTTTGTGATTTTATTGCAATGCTAGAACTTGGGCAAATTTCAGTGAGAGGTTGGGCAAATTTGGAATGGGCTGGGGCCTGAATTTCAGGTAGAAACAAAGTGAAATTGGATGAGTTTGACCCCAAGCCAGGTGTTTTGGTTTGTTTTGATTTGTTTGGTGGTTTCTGTGATACTCTGCACCCCACATTCAGCATAGTAATATGATTATGATATAATTATGTGGCATCTTGTACAAGGTATGCCTTGTAAGGTATCATTCTAAAAGAATTGAACATTATCTTGTTGGACTGTATGCAAAGTTATAGAATCATAGAATATCAGGGTTGGAAGGGACCTCAGGAGGTCATCTAGTCCAACCCCCTGCTCAAAGCAGGACTAATCCCCAGACAGATTTTTGCCCCAGATCCCTAAATGGCCTCCTCAAGAATTGAACTCACAACCCTGGGTTTAGCAGGCCAATGCTCAAACCACTGAGCTATCCCCCCCCCAGTACATAGTTTTGCTATGTACTGTATGTGTTACTGAAAGATGTTGTGAAGTTGAAAACACCCACAGCTAGCCTTTCAGGTACAACAATGAAGAAGCTAGACAGTGCTAATGGCCCATCAGCAAAGACAACTGACCTTGGAAAAGGTTTATCCTCACCCGGTAACGTTTCAGCCAGCCTATGAGTAATGGATGCTATGACTCAGCAAGGCACGCAAGGGCATGTGACCAGACCACATGACTCTGAACTACATTTTGGTACCTGTATTTTTCTACAAGCTGGGCTGGGGACTTAGCTTGGAACAAAGGGTTCCCACCATATGGAAAAACTATATAAGCTGGGGAGTGACATCACCTCTTGGCCTCACTCCCCCCACAAGAGAACTCCTGGAAACATCTAAGGATCAAAGACTGAACAGGGGAAAGTGCTGGTCCCAGGCTAACGGGATTTCTAGCCTGTGTATGGAAATTTGGTGAACTGCTTATATCATCAGTAAGGGTGAGAGATTGCTAATGCAAATCTTATCTATCTAGTAAATTAGGCTTAGTTTGCATTTTTGTTTATTTGATAGATAATCTGCTTTGAGCTGTTTGATATCACTTATAATCACTTTTAATCTATCTTTCTGTAGTTAATAAACTTGTTTTATCTTAACCAGTGCGTCTTTAAGTGAAGTGTCTGGGAAAATCTCAGCTTGGTTAACACAGGCTGGTTTTTCATATCTTTCCCATATCGAGTGGGAAGTGAACTATATTAATGAACTTGCATTGCACTGTGCAATGCAAGCTCATTCTGGGTTTATACTCCAGCAGGGGTGCAAGCCCAGGGAGCTAGGAAATTGTTGTGCTCCGTTATGAATCTATGAGAGGCTTAAGTAAGGCACTCAGGTAACTCAGTTGGGTGTGTGGTGCCACCTGCTGTTGTGTTGGGTGATAACAGGGCCTGGAGAGCTGGCTGAATCACCAGCAGAGCAGTGTGAGAGAGAGACCAGCCCCGCTAAATTGTTAGGGGGCACAGCGGTTCCAACGGCTCCCAGACTGCATCCCGGGGGTAACAACCTGTCACAGGTTCCCAGACCTTTATCTCCTCCTGACCAAAAAGGTTTATTTGTATGAATCCCTGCAAATGACCAAATTTTGCACAGCACCTGCTATAAGTCTTCCTGAATGAAAATAAGGCCTTCGGAGCAGCTTATTGTGGTAACAAGTGACTAGAAGGGCTAAGAAAGGAGGAAGGGGAAATAACTTGTAGAATTAAGAGATGTGCAATAGAGCCTGTGCTTACATGCTTGAAAATTGATGGCCAGAACCACTTCCTTTGCAGGAACTGGTTTTTAATATCATGCCACTGAGTTTATATAGTCTTCTAGTTTGTGGACACCTGAAAAAGCTCATGTACTAGAAGCCAACAAAAAGGCAGCATTGTCTATGGACTAAGATAAGTAACTAGGATATAGAACTCCTGGGTTCTGTTTTCACCTGTATAACTGATTCACTGTGGAACCTTGAGACATGTCACCTAGGGACTTATTTCACAGGTGCTAGGCACTCTCAGCTCCAACAGAAGTCAACGAGAAACACAAGTGTTCAGAATCTCTGAAAATCATGCCCTTAATCTCTCTGTGCTTTATTTTACTCTTCTATGGAATGGAAATAATACCTTTCTATCTCACTGGGGTGTTCAGAAACTTACAGACTTGAAGGCCAGAAGGCACCATTATAATCATCTAGTCTGATCTCTGGCACATTCCAGGCCATAGAACCTCACACCCCTATTCTTGTAGTAGTGGGGCCACAGTCATTGGCTGAGTCACTGCAGTCCTCAAATCTTGATTTAAAGACTTCAAATTACAGAAAATCCACCATTTACCCTAGTTTGAATCAGTAAGTGACCCATGGCCCATTTGGCAGAGAAAGGCAAACCACCCCCAGGGTCTCTGTCAATCTGATTTGGGGAATTCCTTCTTGACCCTAAATATGACCATTAGTATGTGGGCAAGACCAACCAGCCAGACATGGCCTGCATCATGCGGGAGGTGGCCTGCATCATGCGAGAGGTCAGACTAGATGACCATATTGGTCCCTTCTGACCTTAAAGTCTATGAGTCTATGTGGGAAACTAATTAACTATTTGCAAAGCACTGCAATATCCTGTACAACTGCAGAGTATTGGCTTGGCTACTAAAAGGTATCATATTTTACAGTATGTGCATTTTCTCTCAAAGTCCATTGCAGGTACAAAATTAAAAAATAACCCACCCTCCTCCCCTCCGCCCCCAAATCCTATCACTTGATAATTTTGCCTTTACCTTTTTTCATCTCACAAGTGACTCAGATTTCTAATTCCAGAGGTATGCTGTTGCACAAAAGCCTTGCTTACCACACACCTCAGACAGTCATACAATGCTGAAACACACTTTAAAGGTTTCTTCATACTGCACTTTCTGTAAGTGCATACTAAAGGATGAGATAAAATGGCTCAAACGAGCAATATGTCATGCCAGCTTGATAGAGGAGTGAACCTGATCCTTTTTGAAATATTAGCAATGAAACAAGAGACAGAAGAGCACAATGTAACTGATTATTTAAGAGGATCTACTATCTCACATTTCATTGATAAAGGGGAATATAAAGTAGGTTGGATACCTACAGGATCTTGGATGTTATTCTAATACAACATATTCAGACAAAAAAGTCCCCTTATAATTTATTACACCAATCTTCATTAGTATTAAGATTTTTGGTTTTAGATTAAATACATGAAAAATCTATCAAAAAGTTAAATATTGCTTTAAAAAAACAACTAAAAACCAACAAACAAAACACCCTACACAAAACAAAAACGTACACACCAAAAATCCTTAGAATTTCTCTCTCTCTCTTTTTTTTTTTCCTGGTGCTGAGTGTTACTTGTGGAATTAAGAAGGGTGGAGGATTCCCCATAGTCACAGAGAGTTCATCTGAGGAAGCAAAGGTTTTTTTGGAAGCGGGCAGATTTTTTATAATACCAGGTGTTGTAGTTACACTTGTTTTTTAACTAAGTGTTTAATGCCTATAAAATAATCATCACAAATTAGAAACCTCTGTCCTTTTAGGCTAATGCAGAGCAACAAATGACACACATTCATTAGAGGTACTCCGTACATTTACATCTTCCTTATAACATGGTTTCTAATGGGATGCTTTCAGATCTTGGTTCCCAACTCTGCTTAAAGCTGTAATAATTCCTGTTCAGAACACTCATTTTGGGCTGTTTTGGGGGAAATGGACTGGGGAAGTGTCCTTCCTCTACATATAATGTCCTCAATATAATGCTCTCCACATAAATCGGCTCCAATTTTATTGAACATACATTATATCACACTTATAGTACTCACTCTTTTCCCTACCTTGCTATCCAAGGAGCAGTAGTACAGAGAGGTATTTCCCTGTTCATTATTTCGCCTCCACCACCACCCCCCAGCTACTCTATTTTGTGCTTAACGCATTTAGTAGCCATAAATGTAGCCTTTTTATGTTTAATACTCACCCATCAAGCTCAGAACACAGAACATTGTCCAGAAAAGCTGCTTCCTCTTCATTGCTTTTAAACTCCCCAGTAACAACATCCCTGCTGATTACTTACAAGCAAAAGTGGATATTACTTTAGTACTCTTGGGTTTTTAAGTTCTGCTGCAGCTCTGTTGAGACCGTGTGCAGCTCCCCTTTAGTTCAAATCTTTGAGGCCAGTAACAGATGGGGTGGAATTCCCTTGCAGGGGTTATGCTTGTGGTTCCAAATTATGAGGTGGAGTTTGTCCAAAGCGTGATCTAGCTTTAAATAGTTCTTAGCAATCTCACTATCACATTGTTAACTTTTTCCCCTCCCCTATATCCTTTTTTTTTTTTTAAAACATGACATGCTTAACTCTTTCATGGAAGCTGATTCCTTTCACTTTAAAAATGAAGAGAGATGTACAATTTGCATTACACTGAAAGTGAGCATAATATGGCTTGTGTAGTTAAAGTAAAATTCCCCTTTTACCCTGATTTAATATAACTTAAAAGCAGTATAAAAATATGAAATTACATATCCACCCACACCCACCCCTGTATGGTAATATTGCAGGAACTTTGAAGGCGTTTAGAATCTGGGATTTTTTTGAGTAATTAAATTAAGAATGAACCTGGGGCCAAACCCATCACTGACTGAAATAGGAACAATGCCGTTTACTTCAATACTGAATTCACTTAGGCCAGCCGTGAACATGGTTCACAGATGAAAGGGCTTTGAAACTTATGGTCAGTATTGGGACTGAGCAGGGCCGGCTCCAGGCACCAGCTTCTCAAGCAGGTGCTTGGGGCGGCCGTTC